GTAGCGAATGAAAGCGCACAGCAGTAGGAATTTGTACAGAATGGCAGTGCATAAGAGCAAGGTCAAAGTTCAAAACAATCAATAATCAGATAAGACGTCTACATAAGCATCAAAAAGGAAAAAGGGGAGACGAAATGTTAACAACAAATCACAGTCAGGGGAAAATAGAGGCGTGAGATTACCAGGGCAATTACAGATGGATCACGTGATCTAACTGCTTGCACAGGTCTGGTTTCTCCCTCCGTATGTAGGCTGCTTCCAAATAACGCAAGGTTCGAGTTGTACGTGCTCGGACATGTACTCGAAAGGATGCTTTAGGGTCGACAACATGACCGCTATCTAACAGGTGTTTCGTTATAGACGAACGGGGGGTTCTATTTTCCTGTTTGAAAAGCCAATTTCGCAAATGCTCAGCGGCCCTGGTTGCCAATTGCCTTTGAGTTCGCCCAATGTACTTGCATCCGCAAGTGCATGTGAATTCATACACACAATTGGGGGTGGCGTGCATTGGCAAGGCATCCTTCGCTCGGTTAATTGGAAGGCTTTTTGTGGAACTGATGAAGATAAGCTCTGCTTCGTTGTACGTTCTTTCTATAGTGCAACGCAAGCGTCGCTTGATTGTGTTTGAGACGTTGTGTTTGAGACTTGTCCGAGCACGTAAAACTCGAACCTTGCGTTATTTGGAAGCAGCCTACATACGGAGGGAGAAACCAGACCTGTGCAAGCAGTTAGATCACGTGATCAATCTGCAATTGCCCTGGTAATCTCACGCCTCTATTTTCCCCTGACTGTGATTTGTTGTTAACATTTCGTCTCCCCTTTTTCCTTTTTGATGCTTATGTAGACGTCTTATCTGATTATTGATTGTTTTGAACTTTGACCTTGCTCTTATGCACTGCCATTCTGTACAAATTCCTACTGCTGTGCGCTTTCATTCGCTACCTATGTTATGCAGAGACGGGCTGCAGTTGAAAAGCCGTCACGAAATTTATTGGCCCCAATAAATTCTGCTGTACATGCTTGTTTTCAATTCTTACCCGGGAAAAAATGCTTCAAACAGCTCTTGAGATGTTCGATTAAAACGTCTCTTCGCTTCTATTGGCAACGTGAACATAACGCCAGCCAGTGACAGAAGTGTACTTCCATATGCAAGTGCACGGCGTGTGCGACTGATCCACCCGAGCTCATGTAGCAGCCAGTGACCGCGCGAGCGTAGCTATCGCCATGCCGGATCGATGACCCCTTATCGATCTCTGCCACTTCCGACGCAGTTCCTCGCAGACGTGACGTCACGCCGCCGCGCCTGCCACGTCCAAAAGTACATGACAGTGATAAGGCGTAGTTAAGCTGAGACTGACCCCCTCCCTCCCCGTTCCACACACCTATCACGCCGACAGTGAGCGCTTCAAGTGCACATTAGTCTGATGCTAGGGGGGCGCTCATCGATCGTTCTAACGGAACCCACTCGTTCCGTTGTGACTTACGGTCTCTCTCTCTCTCTCGAGCCCAACTAGCAGCCGCACAGCGGTGCATGCTATAGACAGTGTGTTATTACCGATAAAGACAAGGGAGACTAGGGTAAGGTGACACCATACTAACAGCACAGGTACTAGCCAAAAGCCCATACACGCGTGTTTCGCCGATGTTTTGCCGCTGCATGGCGCAGCTGCGAGGGCTTCGGCTCGTCAGTGGGTCCCCCAGCATTCCCCGTGTGTTTTCTGGTAGATACTCCAATTTAGAAATTGTCACTTTTTAATTTCCGGAGAAATTTTGTGCGAAGTAGGAGTAGATCAGTATATTCAAGGTCTGGAATGGCCATTTCTGGCTTATTAGCCGTCGTCAGACAGTCGACCCGTAAGACACAACGGAACAAGTGAGTTCGTAAGAACGATCGGTGAGCGTCCCCTACAATTGTATATTCCCGATCGTAAAACCGACAGGGCAACGGGCCCTTGGTCCAGTGGTTAGAGGCGTGGGCTTCTAACTAACAGGTCGCGAGTTCGAGCCTCGGGTGTTCCACACTTTGGGGGTTGGGTATGACTGGCTGACGACGGCTAATAAGCTAGAAATAGCCATTCCAGTCTCCTCTGTCTTTGTCGGTAATAACATATTGCAAATTAGTCTTTTTTTCAATTGCGGAGGCCCACAATGGAATTTCTTTGGTATTTTCAGCATACTGAAAGCTACACTTGAGTCTATCCCGTCCGAACAAACTTTCGGGTAGAATTTCCCCTCGACGAGGCAATACTAACCACACAGTAATAAAACCCTACGTCTGGAACGAAGGCAGGGGCCTAAGACTCGGCCCCATCTAGTCATTTCCTAGTCAACTGCCCACGAAACTCGTATTGATATCAACTCCAGTAGGTGGGTTTCCGTTTAGTGTTAGGGTTAGAGTTAAGGTAAGGGATTAGAATTACGGTTAGGGGTTTAGGGTTTAGTGTTAGGGTTAGTATTTGGGGGTTAGGGTTTTGAGTTAAAGTTTAGGGTTAGGATCTAGAGTTAGGGTTTAGGATTATTATTTAAGGTTAAGGTTTAGGGTTCTCCGGTTTACCAGATGGGACCGCGTTGTAGGCCCCTGCCGAAATGAATTCCAATTCATGATTCATCACCACAACGGGCTAGTGGCCTGTAGGGATGTCAAACGCTTCGGCACTCCTCACACAACCAAGTGCCTCTGGCATACAGCCTATAAGCGACTGGTCACTTCCGAGAGCTTGAATGCGTCATCAACTTCATGACGTGTCCCCATAACTGATGAGGACGTAAACGAGAAAAGATCCCTGATTGACAGAAATCAGCTGATACTCATTTGCTTGACCTCTTACTTTTAAATGCCGTTTTCAGCATTCAGGATTGGTAATAAACCACTTAAACTTATCAGAGTTGCTTGGCATGAGAGCGATGCTTGATGGTCGTCATTTGTTAATTTGTGCGGAGAGAGACCCCGGTGGGGGGTGGGGAGGGTGAAAGTACGCTCAAGAAGACCTAAGGAGGGGGGTTTAGTTAGAGCGAACTGACGAAGGCGGGATTAAGACTCGGATGCCACAGAAACTGGGCTTGGGTAGGACTGTCTGACGACGGCTAATAAGTCCCAGTCCACCTTGTCACTGTCGATAATCTTTTGCCTACAGTAGGAGTGCTAATTTGTGAAATGTTGTGAGTGACCACAAGAAAATTCTTATAACACAAAAGCTACTTCAGCTGCGTTCCGTAAAGTTTTGCAGCAGTGAAAAAACGACCGTCCTCAAGAAGAAGGCGTAGTCGGGTTTGTAAATCACTATTTACCAACAGAAACATAAGTACTTCCCACTGAAAATCAAAATTTCAGAAAACTGATGTGTTACAAATCGCACAACTAGGGCTACCTATAAGGGTGTGTAATGAAGGGGGAGGCAAGAAATGTGGAAATTAATAAAAAAAAAATAGTGATAACTATAAAAGACTGCCCGTCTGCATCTATCACAATAGACGGTCTCTTAGACATAGAGATGGCCACGTTGTCTATAGTGGATTGTTAAACGTGATTATCTAGCATAAAATCAAGCTTCTTCTTTGCCTTGTGACAAGGTATTTTGGCAAGTACGAAAATATTAATGATAATTATTGATGTCGGGGCTATTGACAGGGATAAAAATCGACTGGAGGTCAAATGCAGAGGGGCTGGCTGTTGTCTAATAACTCAGATTACGGTTGGTTGTGTTATCAGACTCAAAATTCCTTATACCAACGGACGAGAGATTTATCGTATAGTATTCAATCGACATCGGTGGATTTCGTCGTAACCGAATGCATCTCTCACAATATTAGCGAACACCTTGCTGTTGATGGTGTTAGTAATCAGCCGTCAGACTGGCCGCCCTCCGAATATGATAGCCATCCAAACCACTAA